AAACCAACCCCAGAAAGACAATTTCTGCCTCACTCCAGTCTGCAGGGGACAGCTTCTGACCTAAGGCATTTCATTACTTCACCGTATTATTGCCTTTCTAAAATGACTGCAGATCCTGTCCATGGAAGTACCAAATCTTCTTCAGACTCCAATTAAGCTTTTAAAGCCAAAGATCTCCAGCAGCAGCAGTCCCTGTAACGCAGACCTGACTTTCCTCCTCAAATGGTCTCTGGGGAGAGCCCAGCAATCCCATACCCTAACAGGGCGCCAGAAGCTGTGTGGGGGCAGCAGGTGTCTCCAAAGGCCACAGGAGGGAGGGCAAGGGCCAGGGGTAAGGATTGGGAGGATTGTGTAAGAATTAGGGTAAGGACTGGGAGCAGCTCCCACAGCTGCCCAGTCCCTCAGCCTCCCGGCCCCACTTTGCCTCCAGGTGAGGCCATCCCATGCTCCCTCCGTACTGCAGCCCTGTGCCCCTGGCTGCTTCCCAGCCCATCTGAGGCTTCATTGCCAGCTCTTGGAGAAGCCTCGTGGTGCCTGGGGAAATGAGCTCCTTGCCCATGCTCTGATGCTGAGGCCCCAAACTCCCCAGGGTTGCTTATTTACTGACCTGCTTCTTATTAAAGGGGCTGGTTGAAAAAAACACCAAGAGTTTGGCCAGGACACGTTTTAGCACATATCAGCAATGCTCTTGCAGCTCTCCTGGGGCTCACTCCTGCAGGCCCTCAGCCGCAGGAACAACAGTAGTGGGATGCTGCAGGAAAGATGCAGGGAAACAACATTTCCCCATTGCATTGGGAGGCTCCCACCAGCAACCCCCTTTCAGAGATTCCCTGTGAAATCTCCTGACTTCCAGAAAGACCAGCAGAAAACCATACTGGAAATACAACCTGGGGAGCAGGTTGTATTTCCCCACCCTGGGGAGGGGACGAGCCCTTCCCCATTTCACATGACCTTCCCATCAAGTCCTTCTCTTTTTTTGCTCTTTCTTCTGCCTTTCTTGCTCATGTGCTCCCCAGTGGGTGACACCTCAGTGCCTCTACTCTCGGCCCTGGGCCACAACAAAAACCCAGGAAATTCCCCCTATACTTCATCTTCTCCTCCCTGTGCCACAAACTGAATTCTTCAAGTGTGCCTCTGGCACTAGCATTTCAGTATTTGAATCTCTATAGGTACCTCAAAGCCTCAATCATGAGCTCTGCTGTATCAGGTGCTGCTCAAACCGCAGCACACAGGCAGATCCTGTGCGGCGGGCGCTGAGCATCGTGACGCCATCCATCAGCACAGGCCCTTCTGCAGGCTCGCCGAATGCACAGCACCTGGAGCTGTGGTGGCCCTTGCACTGTCACTTTAAGTCACACCCTACAGGCTCATTCATCTATTTTAGCAGCTAGCTGGTGTCAAAACCTCAACTGCTCACGTTGGTACTAGAATCTAAAGAAAAGTAAACATAAAAGGACACATACAACAGCACAATGAAATAGCACATCCCCTCCCTCTACCTGCTGCACCCCAGGTTCATGTCCCAGGGCCTCCTGCAGCTCTGCTCACAGCGGCTAGTGCCACACTGGGATACCACCACCTATCAGCCAACATCCCATCAAACCAGCTGTGCCACCACTGCTGGACACCAGGCAGGCGTCTCATTCTTGCTTGGGGAAAAGTGAGCACAGCTATTTCCCCATGCTGAGCTTCTCCCCTCTGACTTGCCTGTCCTCCTGCTGCAGCTGGAAAGGGATTGACTGATTTTTCTTGGCCTTGCACCTTTCTTTAGATGTTCCTGCTTGTGAAACATCACACAGGAGACACAAATCTTGCATGGCTTATGGCTTTTTTACTCCTTCTGGCACATTTTGATACATCCTGTACACCAAACTGAGCACTTACACACACACACACACACACACACACACTCTCTCTTAGCACCCTGCCTACAGCCGACCAGGAGGAACAGATGCTGATTAATAACCCCTGGTACAGCTTGCTCCTGTGGTCCCCTTTGCATGTCAGGGACAGGCATGAGGGCTGTGAGAGTCACAGGAGCCCTTGGCCAGCCCAGCCATTACATGAGTATTCCTGAAGCAGGTTTAGACCGCTTTCTCTGCCATGTCGCCATGGTCTGCACTGGCTCCCTCCATGCAAGCAGCAGGCAGTTTTTGCCTGGGAGTGCTTTTGACAGATGAAGCATAAGCACTAAAATGTGCAGGGTCAAAGGTTCAGAATGTAGAGAAGGAAGCAACGGCTAGCAAACAGTAAGGTCTGGCCACAGAAATATAAAGTCCAGAGAGGAAAAGAAAATTAGAAAGCTCCCAGGTGTGGCAGGGGTGGAGGGAGTGAAAGCACCGAGCTCAGGAGGCAGAGTCTCCTCTCGGCCACTGGCCGCTAGTTAGAAGAAGATATCCACCAACCCCAGTCCACAACATGAAAAATATCAGAAAGGCTATTTCAGGGTGTCTTCCGAAGAAATAGGCAGGGTTTTCTATACGTCACCATTACCAAGAAAATCAGATACAGCCCTATAGCATCAAAGGAGGAGGGTGGCTTTTGCATCCTACCCGCTCACCTCCCAGGGAAGGAGGCACAGGGGAGAGGTGCTCTGGGCAGCAGCAGCAGCTGTGCCAGCAGCTCTCCCACGCCCTCCGTGACAAACATGTCAGCAGCGTGGGCCAGCGTGCACCTAGCGCCCGGGAGCTGCTCTATGAGGGATAGGAAGCCTTTTTTGTGGGCCTCCTTCTCCCTCCAACATGCATTCCAGGTCAGAGCAACCCCTGTTTGAATTGCAGCTCAGCTGCATGCCTCAGAGAGTCTAAAGACAGCCTTTTGGAAATGGATGTTGCGTTACCTCTGGGAGCAGCTGTGGTCCTTTTAAGTCCCTCAGTTCGAGACCACAGCCCTAAGTACATCAGGAGACAGGAATTATATAGGAGAAGTCAGTGGTGTGGGACACTGGCTCCAGGAGTGGGAACAGAGAGGTCACCCTGCAGCATGGTTTGCTTTGTCAGAGAATGAAAGCCCTGTGAGAAGTACTCACCCGCACACCGTAGGTCGTTCTCGGCTCCCCCACGGTTTCAGCACTCGGCGCGAGGTTCCTGTCCTGCCTGCCCACAGGAGCGGCCTCCTCAGCTCCCTGCACGGCGCAGTCGCCCACGGGCTTTGGGGTTAGGGCCAGCTTGTCCAGGTCAGGCTGTGGATAAGAGGCCGAGACGCAGCTGATCTCAGGCGAGGTCGGGCTGCTCGGGATGGTAACGCACTCTGTGAGTTTAGTTCTTGGCACCTCTTTCGTTCCCAGGCAGAAGCTTTTCAGCCCCGGCAGATTGGAGGGGTTGGCAAGTTTAATGTTAGCCATCCGGGGGATCAGCGTGCACAGCGTGGTGCAGGTGTCCTGTGACCCCAAGGAGACATCTTCCGTCAGTAAATTAGGCGTTGAAGAATGGGAAGAGGAAGAAGAACCTTTGATGTTTAAAGATGTATTTTGCGTACCTTCATCTAGGGATGTTATCGAATCATTCCTGAATCGGCTGTACTTAGCCCTGTGCAGCATTCCTGGATGTCTGAATAACCCTACATACAGGACGTGTCCACCGAGGCTCTGCTGGCTGCGGTCTCTCATAGCCTTGGCAGTTCTGTAACTGGATACTCTTGCATGAATTGGCTCTTGTAGATAAATTATATGGAAATCAAGCAAGTCAAACAATTTTAAAAACAGAAACCTATTGGATATTTTTGCTGACTCCCTCTCGAGTGGTTTATTTTCCTCAATGGACGAGGCTTAAAACTGCATGGACATCTGGCATTTTGTAAGCAGCAATAAAAGCAGCATACAGGAAAGCACATCAGTGGTACTGCAGCTTAAGCGGAAGAGCCGCTACCCAAACCTGCCTTCATTCCTGCCTCAAGCCAGGCACTAAATCCCGCCTGGCTCACCGGGGCAGCACCGCTAGCCGCCGAGCCCTGGCTGCAGCGAAAGCCCAGGCATATTCCACACAAAGCGGAGCGACAGAGCTACGAGCTCACACACGTTTTCGGACCGGCATGAACCCCGTCAGGTGCCCAGCTCTCTGCGTTTCCATCCTCGGCTCCCCCAAAGGCGAAGCGCATTCCCGCGCTGCAACGCTCCTGGCCCGCGGTCAGGCGCGGAACCGGTATTTTAAGAAAAATACTGAACCGCGCCGGCAGCTCTCGGCGCCAGCCTCGCTAGTTCTTGCTGGAAAGTCCTTCAGCACCACGATCCAGCACCAACCGAGTATTCCTGCGCCTCCGGCGCCG